AGGGTTTAGGGTTTAGGGTTTAGGGTTTAGGGTTTAGGGTTTAGGGCTTAGGGTTTAGGGTTTAGGGTTTGGGGTTTAGGGTTTAGGGCTTAGGGTTTAGGGTTTAGAGGGTTTAGGGTTTAGGGTTTAGGGTTTGGGGTTTAGGGTTTAGGGTTTAGGGTTTAGGGTTTAGGGTTTAAGGTTTAGGGTTTGGGCTGGGGTCAGGGTTAAGCTAGGGTTTGGGTGGGGGTGGCGGGGTGGGCTTGGTGGAGGGCAGTGTGGTGGACATTCACTCCTTTAGGTTTTAGGGTTTTGCTTCAGGGTTAAGCGCTCCTTTGCTGCTGCTGCTGCTGCTGCTGCTGCTGCTGCTGCTGCTGCTGTTGCTGCTGCTGCTGCTGCTGCTGCTGCTGCTGCTGCAGTTCAACTCTAGCCGCGCGCTGCTGCATGTGTCTGAAATTTCTGGTGTCTCCACTTCGCCGCTGCTGCTGTTTAAAAAGGGAGACAGAGTTAAGGCCATTGTGAAGAGCTACGACAAAGTAAACCCTAAACCCTAAACCCTAAACCCTAAACCCTAAACCCTAAACCTTAGGGTGTATGCCTTGAGACTGGAGGCAGACTCCAGGCAATTGTAAAGCTCTACGATAAAGCAGCTCTAAACCCCAAACCCTAAACCCTAAACCCTAAACCCTTCGATAAGGTGCAGACTCAAGGATGTTGCAAGGAACCACCATGAAGCGAGCCCTAAACCCTAAACCCTAAACCCTAAACCCTAAACCCTAGAGGCCCGTCCAGGCCGTAGAGACACGCGCCTTCAGAAGCGGCTAAAGATGCATTAATTTGATTGTCTTTTTTATTTTTATTTATTTATATATTTATATATTTATTTATTTATTATTTATTTATTTATTTATTTATTTATTTATTTATTTATTTATTTATTTATTTATTTATTTATTTAGACCACAGGAAAGATGCTGCTGAGCACGAGGCTGCTGGAGCAGCAGCCGGGCGACATGCTGCGGGACAAAGAAAAGGTATTTGCTGCTGCTGCTGCTGCTGCTGCGAAGTACAAGCAGCAGCAGCAGCAGATGCAGCAGCTGCAGCAAGCAGCGACGCAGCAGCTGCTGCGCTCCCTAGGCATCGCAGAGGAGTCGCCGCAGCAGCAGGATCAGCAAGCAGCAGCAGCAGCAGCAGCAGCAGCAGCAGCAGCAGCAGCAGCAGCAGCAGCAGCAGCAGCAGCACAGACTCTGGGACGGAGTCCACGCAGACAGCCGCCTCTTAGAGTTTCTGGAGCAGCGGCTAGAAAGCCTGCGGGAGCGCCGCCCAGCAGCAGCAGCAGCAGCAGCAGCACGGGAAGCAGCAGCAGCAGCAGCAGCAGCAGCAGCAGCAGGCGTGACGCGGCTGCCCGGGGGAGGCCTCGTGCGCATGTTTGACTGCAAAGGATTGGAGACAGAAAGAGACAAAAAAGAAACTTCAAATAAAAACTTTAATTCCAATTCTTTAGCAGCAGCAGCAGCAGCAAGAGAGGCGCTGCAGCAAGCCCACGTGCTGCTCGACAGCAGCAGCAGCAGCATAGCCCCAGCTAGCGAAGGGCCTCTTGAGAAGCAGCTGTGGCTATTTGAAAACGAATGAGCAGCAGCAACAGCAGCAGCAGCAGCAGCAGCAGCAGCAGCAGCAGCAACAGCAGTGGTGACAGCAGCAGCAGCAGCAGCAGCAGCAGCAGCTGCAGCAGTTGCAGCAGCTGCTGCTGCAGCAGCAGCTGCTGCAGCAGCTGCAGCAGCAGCAGCTGCAGACAGAAGGGCCTTTTTAAGGAGACTAGAGCGGCTAGCGAGGGGCAAAGGGGGCCGAAGGGACAGAGGCAGCAACAGCTAGCCACGGCCTGTCTTGAGGTGGCTTGGCTAGCTAGCTAGCTAGCTAGCTAGCTAGCTAGCTAGCGCTGACGGCTAGCTAGCCAGCTCTGACAGCTAGCTAGCCAGCTCCGACAGCTAGCTAGCTAGCTGGCGCGGACAGCTAGCTAGCTAGCTAGCCAGCGCTGACAGCTAGCTAGCTAGCTAGCTATTCAATTGCCAGCGCTAGCTGAGAGCTAGCTAGCCAGCTATGGCTGCTAGCTAGCTAGCTTTGACAGCTGGCCAGCTAGCTATCTCCGACAGCTAGCTAGCCAGCTAGCTAGTCCGGACAGCTAGCTAGCCGCTGGCGCGAGAAAAGCCAGAGGGAGAAGGGATAATTCCATTTAGCTAGCCAGCTAGCTGTAATGGCTAGCTAGCTACGCCGGCTGGCCAGCTAGCTAGCTGTGTCAGCTGGCTAGCCCTAACAGCTAGCTAGCAAGCTACATGGCTGGCAAACTAGCTAGCAAACTAGCTAGCTAGCAAGCTAGCCGGCAAACTAACAACCTAGCAAGCTAGCTAGCTAGCTAGCTGGATAGCTAGCTAGCTAGCTAGCTAGCTGGTTAGCTAGCTAGCTAGCTAGCTGGATAGCTAGCTAGCTAACCAGCTAGCTAGGGCCTCTTGCTGCACTGCGGCGC